TTGGCCTCTCTCAGCTTCTTCTTTAACTCCTTTTGGACAGCCTTGAGCTCCTCTCGATCCCTAGTCATGAAGGCCCTCTTCTTTCTGTTGAGGAGAGCTTTAATGTCTTTATTGATCCATGGTTTGTTGTTTGAGAAGCAGCGGACCTTTTTGGTAGGGACTATGGTGTCCTCACAGAAACGGATGTAGTCTGTAATACAATGAGAGAGACCTTCAATGTCATCACCATATTCCTCCTTAAACAGTTCCCAGTCTGTGACATTGAAGCACTCCTGCAGGGCCTCCTCTGTATCCTTAGACCAAACCTTCAAAGTCCTTGTGTTGGCCCCCTGCTGCTTCACCAGGGGCCTGTAGGTGGTCTCAAGGTGGATAAGGTTGTGGTCTGATTCCCCAAGAGGGGGGAGAGAAGAAGAGCTGTATGCTCCCTTCACGTTGGCATACAGGAGGTCCAGGTTTTATTCCCTCTTGTAGCACAGTGCACATACTGTTTAAAGTTCGTCAGGACAGGGGAGAGAGAGACATGATTAAAGTCCCCGCTGATCAGTATGAGGGCACTGGGATGCTGGGTTTGTAGTCCCGCGATCATAGTGTGGATGACGTCACTCGCGCTAGCGGCTACAGCTGATGGTAAAGATAAAGATAAAGATAAACTTTATTGATCCCCCGTGGGGGAAATTTGTGCATTACAGCAGCTCCAGAAAACAGGGGACGGGAATATAATTATTAAAAATAAAAATAGAAGTTAAAAACAGATCAAACATATTTACATCATTTAAATAAAAATGACGTAAACAGCAACAGCAATAGCATGTGAGAACTCCTGTGGCAGATAGTACGGGTGTAATCCCATCGCCAGCATTTCAACGTCTGGGGTACAGACACAGTCCTTCACAGTTACACGTCCGGGATTACACCATTTAGAGTTAATAAAGACAGCAAGACCTCCTCCTCTCTTCTTACCGCTCTGTCTCCCCCTGTCCGCTCGTACCAGCGTGAAGCCGGCCAGATCGATGTGACTGTCCGGTATATTCCCATGTAGCCATGTCTCCGTGAAGCAAAGTAAACTGCACTCCCTGTAGACACTCTGGCTGTTTACTAAAGCTGTAAGTTCGTCCGCTTTGTTGGCGAGTGACCTGACGTTCCCCATGATGACCGACGGTAGAAATGGTTTAAATTCCCTGTCTCTCTCGATCCGCTCCCTGACTTTAGCGCAGGCTGTCTTCCCCCGGCGGACACCTCTCCATAACTCCTCAGGGATGCATGTAGGAGGAACACCGGCTCCATGCCTGAAGCTCAGTAGTTCCTCACGAGTGTACGTGATCATTCTAACAGTAGAAAAAAAGTCCCGAAAGAAACATGTAATTCCACGAGTAATACCGCAACTAAAACGCTGCAGCAGTGTCCAACAATAAACACAGAAACAGTGCAAAAATACTTAATAAAAGCAAGAAAATAGACGAAATAAAGAAAAAAGAGTCGGAGCTGCTGCAACAGGCTGCCGACTCTCAGCGCCCGTTGAGAGTAAAAGAGGATTTGATGAAGGATAAGAGTTATTCACAATAAGGCGTGTAGCTGACCTGATTGACAGGTGGGCGCGTGTAACGGTTTGTCAGGAGGTTTAAAACCCGCCTCAGCTCCAGCTCTCAGCCTGTCGTTAGGTTGACTGAAAGTTAGACTGAGACAGCATTTCCAGCATGGGACTCCAGCGCCCCCTGCAGGAACAGACGGGGACGCCACTCAGGCTTCAAACATTTATATTTACAGTCTCTGGTCGGAACACAAAAGTGGGCCTTTGAGTTTTCTCATGGTAATCTAGTTTAACTGTTAGCATGTTAGCGTGAAGCAGAGCTGAAGAGCGTTCCTGTTAGGACGCGGTGAGCGCTGCGTGATATGGAGTAGAGCAGGCGGGGAGCACACACACACCACAAGAGAGAGAGATGAACCGACAGCAGAAGATCGTAGGGGGTCTTTGGTACCAGCAACAGGTTTCCACCAATCAGTGACGTCACTGTGACACTCCAGTATCAAGGATTGTGGGTAATGTAGTTCTATTCCTGATATTGTGAATAAACAATGTTTCTCTTGAAACGAGATAGATGGGTAGATATTAGATGAACTTGTGTCTCCTACAGGAGCATAAACTATCGTTTCACACTCAGGTAGCTCATGGTCAGTCTACCTGTGATGGTTATGACATCATGTCTCATAATCAAATCCACTAAGGAGAACATCCAGGACTTTTACTTCTGGAACCACACTATTGAGCTCTACTGACTTTGATACTTCTTATTAAAGAATGGTGTAAAGCGCAAGCACCCACGCACGCGCACACGCACACACGCACACACGCGCACACACACACACACACACACACACACACACACACTCATAAAGCTTGGCTGCGTCTCTCCGCTCTGAATGCATCGACTCAGGTAAGACCTCCACAGTCACATAGTGTGTAAAGGTCTGATGTGTGTATCTTCTGCTTGCTCGGTGTGTTATTAACAAAGGAAACATCAAACAGTGTGTGAGTGTGTAACTTCTGTTTTTATCTTCTAAATGTTTCAGGTGATTCTTCTTTCATCTGTGGCAGGACACTTTTAACTTTTGTCTGTTCAAGTCTAAAATCTGCAGAAAGGTCTGCACTCTATTCAGCTCCCAAAGAGGAAGCAACGTTTGGCTGTAAAGATCTTCTTCAGGGGTCTTTGGATCCACACGTTGACCTCATGAAGTCGCTCATTGAGAGATGAACAGAGTGAGGGACGTTCTCTTTAGTCTGCGGTTTAAACGATTTTTGTCCTGCAGCTGTGTTTGGCTTGGGTGTGCACAAACTATTTTATTGTCTGGTTTTAAAGTCTAACATAAAACACAAACAGGACATGAGGGTTGATGGTCCAAAATAAACACTCGTGCTGCTTCAGAGTGGCTAACATGATTCATATTTTTAATTAAATGTGAACTTCTTATGATGATGAACTTCTTATAAACACTGCTGATTATATTTGACTTCATATTCATAAATGTGCTGATGTTTAAATCACAGTTCAGACAACAAATGGTTAAAGTTACTGAAGGAGATCAACTGAATATCTAAACTTCAGATCAACACATCTTATGTTGATCTCAGCTACTGCTTTTTTTAACAGCATGCTGCATGTTCACATCTACATCATTCTTCACTTATTCATGTGGATGGTTTGAACATCAGTGTGAGTATCTGGGACTGGATGGCGAGCTCATGATGTTTGAAGCGTTCAGGTGCTCGTGTGTGTTTGAAAACGAGCCGCTTGTCGGGAACAAACCTCTGAATGTTTTGTGATGACGGTTTTAATAGTGAAACTTCTGATGAGAATATCTTTAATGATTGTTTATTAAATGTGAGACTACGATGCACCATGTGTTTTTTTTAAGTTGTTTTTCGAGCCTTTTTACATTTATTGGAGAGGACAGCTGAAGAGAGAGGAAATGTTGGGAAGAGAGAGAGTGGAGGATGAAGTGCAGAAAAGAGCGAAAGTCGGATATGAACCAACTATAGCCTCGGTTCATGGGGCGTGCAACATAACCACTAGTCTATCAGCGCTCTGATCTCAGTTGTTTTCTGATTGATTTGAAGTGTTTGTTGTTTTCTTTCTAACTTTAATGTGCTTGTAATATCGACAGCATTGAAACGAGGGAAACCTTGACGTCTATCAAGAATAAATAAAGGTTTGAGTTGAATTTTAATGAACAATAGAATCGTGCTGCATGCTTGAAAAGCAAACTCAAGACCTACCTTTTTAGTAGAGCTTTTAACTGAATCTCATTTTATCTAGTTTTATTACATTTTGAACCTCCTGTGTTTCGTCATTTATAATAAATGATATCGTTTCCTCAGTACCTGTTCTTATCTAGTTATATTTACCTTAGTTTTTGGATTGTGTGTTAGGGGTGGGGGAAGGGAGTCATGTTGTCGCTGTTTGATTTATGTTGATCAATCAATTTTTATTTGTATAGCGTCAACTCATAAGTGTTATCTCAAGACACTTTACAAAAAGCAGGTAAAATACCTTACTCTTTGTCTGTTAACATTACAAAAGAGCAGGTAAACAGACCTTACTCATTGTTATGTTACAAAAAGCAGGTACCTTACTTATTGCTATATTACAAAGTTTATAGCTATATCCATCATGAGCACTTTAGCAAAGCAGCAAAAGTTACAGTGGTAAGAAAAAACTGCCTTATTAAAAGGCAGAAATCTTGGGCTGGATCCCCGGCTCATGATGAAACAGCCTTCACAGGTCTAGACTGCACCGGGCTTGGAAAAGTGATGGGGAGAGATGGGATAAAAATGAGATGGGAGATGCTTGATGTAAAGCACTTTGGGATACATTTGTTGTATAAAAGTGCTATACAAATAAAGTTTGATTGATTGATTGATGCTGGTGCAGGGTCTAGCCCTGAGGAGGTTCCTGGTTCAATCCCAGGGAGTGGAGTCTGCATGTTCTCCCCGTTCTCTCCGGGTACTCCGGCTTCCTCCCACAGTCCAAAGACATGCTCGTTAGGTTAACTGCTGACTCTAAATTGTCCGTAGGTGTGAATGAGTGTGGCTGGTTGTCTGTCTCTTTATGTCAGCCCTGTGATTGGCTGGTGAACAGTCCACGGTGTAACCCCGCCTCTCGTCCAGTGACCGCTGGGATCGACTCCTGACCCCCGCGACCCTGTACTGGTAAATGTGGTTTTGTTGATGGATGGATGGGAGAGTATCAGCTTTTACACAACATCAGATTTTCACGAGAGAGAGCACAAATTGAAGAAACAAGAAATTACAGAATATCAGCTGTCTTTTTGTTGCCATGGCATCCAAACAGGTATGGTAGTTTTGTAGTAAAGTTAAAGATTCTGGTGTCAGACATGTTTCATTTGAGGACTCCACGTGTTGGAGAACGAGACGTCATAAACGTGACTGGATACTTCATCATCAAGGTTAACTCTGATGTGTCCTGTTTTATCAGACCTGAGAGATGAACGTGTCGTCTGTGACTAATGTGACCGTGGTTATCGAGTACCGAGACTCCCTCACCAAAGCCGTGGCCAAGAATGTGATCGTGGTCGTCCTCAGCATCTCGCTCAACTACATCCATGTAGGACTCATACACACCTTCCGCAAACACCAGGTACGACGTTCTTCACATTGTACTATAACACGATTAACACTTTAACCAAAGAAATCATTCTGTCGTAGTGGGCGATGGTGGTGTTCAAGGTTCAAGGTATCTTTATTATCCCCGAGGGGCAATTTGATGTCCAATTTGGTGTTGGACTGGAGAGCTTTAAACTGGAAGTTGTCCCGAATGTTTTGTCCCCTCAATTAACATTCACAAGGGGAGCAAAGTATTAGGAAGTAGGAACACCGCCAATATTTACAACAGAAGGAACAAAGGCGGTTTTACAAAGAGGCAAAGGTTGGAAAATTCCTGGCTGGGGCCTCGTGCCCAAAATAGCCTCAGGTCATTGGTCATGAACGATCGCCCGGGACACCGACCTCTGTTGGCGAGAGCCACAAACATTTAGATTTAGAATATGATTGTGAATCTACTGCCAGATTGTCGACTTCCCCTGAGATATTGAGTACTGCTGGCTGTGATTATTTAGGCCCCGTGACCACCTGGTATTTTTTTTCTTTGCATCAGAGTCTATAATCAAATTGTTCCCAATAGAGAACAAACCATATGACGTATTTTTGTAGGCCAACCCTGAAGTAGCATCACCATGGGGTCTAACGAAAATTCTCCTATGGGATTTTTTCATCAGATTTTGGATCATTACAGAAAATAATCTCTGTGGTAAACACACGTTTCTGAAGCGTAGGCGTTTTGTTCAGCAGGATAATCTTCACAGATGAACGCCATTTTTATGATGTTTGAAGCGTTAATGCGGCCGACAGAAGTAAAAAGCTAACGTTATGCTAAAGCTAACTACACCACGGTCGGATGATTGTGACGTCACTACCGTTATGCTTCAGACGATCTCTGATAAACTAATCCACATAGCTTAATAAATTGTTTACTAACATAATATTTACCGTAACCAAAAGATTAAAACTCGGTTGTGTTCTTTGGATTTGTTTACTGAAAATGGGGAACAAAAACACTGACACAGAACTTCATTTACATTCTGATCAACTTAAAAAGATACAAAATATCATCAACTCGATAGTTACAGGAGGAGGAGGAGGAAGTCTCATAGTAGTCCTTATCTGGGGGCCTCCAAATCATTAAATCCACCACTGAGATGTTTAAACATTGAGATTAAAATCAACAAACTCAGTTTATAACACCTGTTGGTCCAATAAATGACTGTTGGAGTTTTCTTTAAACTCTGACATCATCCCCTCCATGTTTCCCCTCCGTGTGTTCCTCTTTAGATTTTCTACATGAATCCTCGGTACATCCTGTTCTTTCACCTGGTGGTCAACGACATGATCCAGATGACATTGACCGTCCTCCTGTTCATCATCAGCTACACCCTCTACAAGATAAATGTCTCCGTGTGTAGCGTCTTGATCCTGCTGGCTCTCTTTGCCACCGAGAACACGCCTCTCAACCTGGCCTGCATGGCGGTGGAGTGCTACATCGCCATTTGCATGCCGCTTCGCCACGTGCAGATCTGCACCGTCAGGAGAACGTTGGTGCTGATCGGTTTGATCTGGATTACGAGCATGTTGTCGGTCCTTCCTGATCTCTTCATCACGTTGGCCACCGAGCCGCTGGACTTCTTCAGCTCCCGGGTGTTCTGCCTCAGAGAAACAGCCTTTCCAAATCCGCACATCATCAAGAAGAGAGACGTCACTTATGTCATGTATCTGGTCATCGTTTGGCTCGTCATTTTCTACACGTACTTCAGAATCCTGTTTACGGCTAAAGCGGCGAGCAAAGACGCCAAGAAGGCCAGAAACACCATTGTCCTCCACGGCTTCCAGCTGCTGCTGTGTATGGCCACGTATGCAGAGCCTCTGTTAATGACCGCTCTGTTGCAATGGTTCCCCAAGACCTTTTTAGACTCCCTGTTCGCTTGTTACATCATCATACACATCCTTCCACGCGCCATTAGTCCCATAATTTATGGCGTACGAGACAAGGCCTTCAGAAAGTATCTGAAGACGTATCTGTTGTGTAAAGTGAGCACACAGTAAGCGTTGGGGCAAATGATCATAAAACCTAAAAAAAGAATCACAAAGTGTTCTTGACTTCTTCTTCATGTTTTGTTTTTATATTCTCTTCACTCAATAAAAACACTCCTGCTCTGTTTTTTAGATCAGTCAGAACTTCACTCCCGCAGAGCGCTTAGTCGTGTATTTTCTGGAGGTGGACCGATGAGTTCCACCAAACAAAGATGGCCGGCAGACTCAATGAAGCGGTTCACACATTTATCACTGATATCTGATGGTCACTCTGTGATGTTACCCAAACCGGAAACCAAGGTGTCCGATTAGTATCAGAACTTAAAGGGATACTTCACCCGTTGAAACATGAATCTGTATTGACATTGGGTCATATATGTAGTAGAAATAAATCTTGAAGTTGGTGCCTTCTTGGCCGAGGAAAGGCAGAAAGTGTCTTTTGGCCGCCCCAGCTAGAGCCGGCCCGGGCTCCTCGTCTGCAATATAGCCCAGAGACGGTTGCTGCCGACAGGCCGTTCTTCTGTCGCAACAGCCCTGGTGGCCAGCGGCGACCAGAGGACGCAGCAGCCGAAACACAAGTCGGCAGCAACCGTCTCGCCCATCTCAGGGGAAAATGAGGGCAGGATGCACGAACATTCAAAAATACTACCAGGTTTCTAATGATACAAAGCTTAATGCAAATGGGTGAAGTATCCCTTTAAAAAGATGGATCGCTGCATCGGGGTCGAACACTAGCACCCGCCACTCGCCTGACGCTTGTCAAACTATCGTTTTGCGAGTAAAGGCAGGGTGGCTCTGGCGGTTGGCCTGATCAGTAATAAACATATTGTGATGACCATGTTATGTTTAGACTGCACGTTGCTGCGTGCGACTGTCAATCATTGTTTAATGCTACTTCGATTGACCCTTGCTGTCTACCGTTGGCTCGGCCCTGCCTTCTTTATTCAGCAAGTCACGTTCATCACACGAGTCTGCGGTGGGCCTTGTTACAGGTTACAAACAGGTTACAAACAGAGCAAGTGTTAGAAAATGAACTCCAAGTAGAGCTCAATATTGTGGATCCGGAAGTAAAAATCCCGTTGACTTTCTCCATAGCGGTAGCGTTCGAGCGAGGGGTCATTTTGTTTGTTTTGGCGGAAAAACTCAACCAGCAGTGATCTGGAGTGATAACGGAGTTTGCGATGACGGAAAGGTGTTTTGCCTGTTTTGTGGAACTCATTTGAGCCAGATTAGTCAGTTTTGCTTTTCATTTGGACAGTCTCTCGAACTTTTGAAGGACACCTATGAGACGGAAGGACGAGATATGCACTTCTGGCATTTGGTACATTCCCTTTCCGTCAAGATTTTGTCATTTGTAAATTTGTTTGGGGACAAGTAAAAGTGTAAATTTGTCTCACATATTGTAAAAGTGTTTCACATCTTGTAAATTTTTTTGTCCTCTGTAAAACTGTTTTGATTTTGTAATTTTGTTTTATAAAATGTCAATTTGTCTCAAACTTTGTTTAAGTGTTTTACACTTTGTAATTTTGTTTTGCACTTCCCAGCCAATGTAGTTTTGATTAAACGAATGATGTGTGTTATCCATAGTTAGGTGTGTAGCTAACCTGATTGACAGGTGGGCGCGGTGTAACAGTGGTCGTTGGGTTGACTGAAAGTTAGACTGAGACAGCATTTCCAACATGGAGGCCGCCATCGATGGGACTCCAGCGCCCGCTGCAGGAACAGACGGGTGACCTCACTCAGGCTTCATCCAGTAATATTCACAGTGGATGGTAAGACACCATATATAAAGTCAGACACTTACTGAAGCCATACTCTTGACGTACTCGTCTTATTGTATGAACTAGGTAAGAACCAACTTCTCTTCTCTGCTCTCATGTTGTTCATCTTTCAAACTTCTCATAGTCTGACTTAAACATTTTGCAGATTTTTCATGAATCTTCTTTCTGTCAAATGTGATTCATATTTTATCTAAACAGTTTATCCAATTGCTCCAACATCCTTTTCTTCAAACTGAAGAATTGGTTTAAACGAACGTGTTTGCTGTTGATGAAAGACTTTAACAACTTGATTGTCTGACTGAGTGATTTACATTTTTCTGTCACCTTTTTTTTTAATCAATGATTCCCGATGCGTTGGTATCTCTTCTTGTAGCTACGTGTATGATCTGTGTGTCTTTATTACAGCTCGATGCTCTGAGGCGAGTTTCTCTTTGCAGAATGAATCTGTATAAACTTCATCTCACCATCAGGTTGTGATTGACAGCTGGCCTGAGGAGGGGAAATGTGCACTGATGTTTTTTCTTTCAATAGCAGATTCTGAGCTTTATTCAAAGATTTTGATGCTACCATGTAGAAAAAGGTCATTTTATATGCATGAGTAGACCTTGCTGTCTGATATGAAATAGTAAACCAGCCTTCATGAGAACATTGAGCTGCTGTATGTAAACATTCACACATTATATTTGTTGAGTCAGGCTTTAAGCTCTTTACATTCAGCACAGGTTGTTCACCAGTATGTTTAACAAACACCATCAAGATAAAACCTCACATTTAAGTCCTGCTAACATGTTTCATAGAGGCACGTGGACCTCTTTACTGTCATGAAACACGGACGTGCACACTTCTCTGTTGATGTTTTTTTGATGTTAATAAGACGAGGACTAAGTGAAGAGGGGATTGTGTCCTCGTTCACACGTCTGCTTGTGACAGAAATAAAGACCTGCTCGTAGGTTTCTCTGAGTGGAGGACATCTTCTCTGAGATGTTCTGTTAGAAAACCAAACATCTGGTGAATGTCCATTACTCAGAGTTCTTTATGTTGAAATGAAAATAGTAGGTTTGTTATTTGTAGATTACTATACTTTTAGATAATAGTTAAGTTCTGTTGTTATAGTTCTGGTATTCTGAAAGTTTTCAATGTTTCCTTAAAAGCACATTTCCTGAAATAGGTGCTGTTAAATTGTCCTATTATTAACATTTAAGGTCCAATCAGTAAGATGTGTAGAGAGTGAAATGATAAAGTGAGCTTACTATATGATCAGACATTAAGGAAACATGCTATGTTGAAGTGCTGACTTCTCTGACAACAATGCAGCAGCCAGTATGTCCTCCTTCTAACTTTAGATTCTGCTCCTGAATGCTCTGGATTTGTTTGGACCAGAGAAGATAGGTGGTTTTAAGGCACCCCCTCGGTTTGTCAGATATGAGAGCAGTTATCAGGTCAACAGGTGTTGCAGTGATGGAAGCGGTCAAGAGAAGTGGTTCAGATAGAAGTGATTGTACCCGACCTAAAAAGCCTCTGCATGTTTCTAATAAGCTCCACGAGCAGAAACGTGCTCAAACTAGGATCAATATTGGAGATGCTTTTGAAAAATGGAGAGAGGTTAGAACACAGAAAGGTTTACAGACCCATGCAGAGCTGGATAAACACTGAAGCTTCAGTGTCCACTTTGTCCATTTTAAACACTACGTGTCAGAGTTATAGCTCCTTTAACTTGTTTTCCTTTAGATCAGATTATTTACTGTATTCTGTTATCATTTTGATGACAAATATCATTTAACTAATATGATGCTTTCTCCTTTGTAGAAATTACTTTTTCATATTAGAGATGAACAGCTTAGTGGCCAACACAACCGTGGTCGTTTGGTATCAAGACTCCCTCTCTACAGCTGTGACCAAGAATGTGATCGTCGTGTGTCTCGGGATCTCCATCAACTACATCAATGCCTGCCTCTTCCACACCTTCAGCAAACACCAGGTCTCCATGACAGTCTGTTGACAACGGCCGCTGTATGGCCGACACTGCTTCGTTACTTTTTACTTCATGCTTTTTTATTTTAAATTGTTTATTTCCCGATCAGACACATTTGGAACAGAGCACCGGTGATGTCAACGCTGTCTTTCTGAAAAGTTTAAAGATTTTCAACTATAGCCTTTGGAGCAGCCGTACAGAAACTCCTGTCGGCCATCTGCTGCTCTGAACACTCTCTACTCATTGAAAAAAATTGAACAAAGACGCTGGTGCTCTGGACAAAAACGCTAGGTGGTACAGCTGTTTCTTTTATAACTGTTCTATAACTCATGTTTAGTTATTCAAAGCTAAATCCAAAAGGTAACTGGACCTGGTTGAATCTTGAACCAAGTCTCTCAACCAGGTCCTGTTGCCTTTTGGATGTAACTATGATCTACCATGAAGACTGAAAACCTTCACAGATGTGTTTTGCTTCCCTCCCTCAGATCTTCTACAGAAACTCTCGGTACATCCTCTTCATTCACCTGGTGGTCAACGACATGATCCAGGTGACGCTGACTATAACCCTGTTCATCATCAGCTACACCATCCACAGTGTGCATGTCCCCGTCTGTTGGGTCATAATCCTGCTGGCTCTCTTTGCCACCGAGAACACGCCTCTCAACCTGGCCTGCATGGCGGTGGAGTGCTACATCGCCATCTGCATGCCGCTGCGCCACGTGCAGATCTGCACCGTCAGGAGAACGTTGGTGCTGATCGGTTTGATCTGGTTTACAAGCGTGTTGTCCGTACTTCCTGATCTCTTCATCACATTGGCCACCGAGCCGCTGGACTTCTTCGGCTCCCAGGTGTTCTGCCTCAGAGAAACAGCCTTTCCAAATCCGCTCATAATCAAGAAGAGAGACGTCATCCATTCAGTGCTTCTCGTTACAGTTTGGATCACTATCTTCTTCACTTACTTTAAGATCCTGTTCACGGCTAAAGCAGCGAGCAAAGGTGCTAACAAGGCCAGAAATACCATCCTGCTGCACGGGTTCCAGCTGCTGCTGGGAATGGCAAAATACATCGGCCCTCCATTATTATCTTTTCTAGGCAAAAGGTTTCCTCGGAATTATACAGACAGTCTCTTTGCTTGTTATATTATTGTACAAATCCTGCCCAGGTCCATTAGTCCGATTATTTACGGCATACGAGACAACACCTTCAGGAGGTACCTGAAAAGGTATCTGTTTTGTAAAGTCACCATCCAGTAACCATTCAGAACCTACATCAACAAAAAGAAGGTATGTCCCAAAAATAAAGTAAAGCTTAAGCTTAGCAAAACTCCTGGCTCTCACTCCATCTCTTCAATTATTCAAAGTCCTCCAAGTAACACGCATGAGGTTTAAAACAAAAGTTTGCCCTGTGGAACCCCAAACTGATATCTAGAAACTTCATGTGAACAGTTTTAAAAGTACGTAGACTAGAAATCTTCATGGACAAACATGAGGTCGAAAGGTCATAAGGTCGAAGTGGCTCATAAGGGCCTGGGTCCACCAACAGGGTTTTTTAAGTGCTGGCAGCGTCTTTTCAAACCAATACAGCTCATATATTAGTTCAGACACTTTGTATGTTTTATGTTTTGTCTGTGTTGTACTAAGTGACTCTCCCTGCAACCAAATTTACCTGCGGGTACAAACAAAGTAACCTGAACCTGAACCTGAGTTCTTCATTTTTAAAAATCAGCGTCCTAAGGGCCAATACTCCTCAGTGTCACCTGTTTTTTGTCGTTGCACTCAAAGGTTAAAAAAAAATGTTTTACATTTATATTTCTATCGTTAGGTTGACTGAAAGTTAGGCAATACGGAAGTGAAATACGCCGCAGTTCCTCAAGTTTCCACTTGGGGCTGTCAGCAGAAGTCACACACACACACACACTCATGGTGAAATGCCCATTCTGACAGCAGAAATAATCAGATTCACAGCCTGGTACAAAAAACAACAACATTTGGGTCTGAAGAGTTTTGGTTAAAGCTGGCCACACACAAGACGATTCTCAAAAATAAACCGATTTTAAAAATGTTGGAGACCAAAAACATGAGGACAGCTTCAGATTATTTTTAATATTAGAGTCTTCTGAACGCACACACGAGACGACTTGGCAAGAACAGGAGACCACACCTGCTGTTTGTAGAAACGACTGATTTTAAACAAACATGAGGATTGACATCGTTCGCTGGCTCTCCTGCCGCATTTACAGGGGAAAACTGAAAAACTATACGGATGTGATCTTGGCTGGGAAGATAGATTATGAGCAGCTTTATTTAATTTGCAAGTTGAGGGTTTGTTGTCAGAGTACACAAAACCCGGTTGGTGACGGTTCCAAGTCTGCTCGCTCTCATTAGAGGTGGGAAAGAAAATCGATTTATGTAAAAATCGAGATTCTTCTTTTCTGAGATTTAAAATCGATCCAAAACGTCCAAAAATCTATTTTATTTTTTAATTTCATTTGGGCTAATCAGTCACTCCCTGCTCAGTGCTAATGCTAATGCTAATGCTAGCTCTTTAACTCAGTAGAACGCCAAATGGAGAATCAAGAAGTTCAGCCAGTCTCACAGATGACTGGAGTAGATCCTGAAGTATGTACTCATTCATAAATAGACTTCGAATCCACAAATCAATGAATCCAGAATCGTGAGACACCCAAAGATTCCCAGCTCTCCTCATTGGCTGCTTTAGGTTTTCGACAGACCAGGAATCATAAATATCAGACATGTTTGATATTTATGATTCCAGAGCAGGGAGGCTCCGACTTGTTCGGGAGCAGTTATCAGATACGGCAGGCCTTAAATCAAGACGCGCCCCCCTGACCGTGGTGAACGAGCAAATGGGCAAAAATCTTCAAGGGTGGCGCCATCTAAAGGCTGACTGATTGAAAAAACTGGCAGTGTGATATCTTTTCTGTCTGGGATAAAAAACAAAACAGGAAGTTATACCAAATAATAAATGCATAATAAATGTATTATAAATGTAATGAGTTTTATGGGCTTCAATATAAATCATAACTTTATTGAACTATACGTCTGTTACTCTTTAGGCTGCATAATATGAAAAAAAAATGTGATGTGCAATAAAATTGTTGGATGTATGAAAAGTTATGAATAAACTATTATCAAGAAAACTTTGGTTTTTACTTACAGCTATTTGCAACAAGTTTCTCCTGAATCTAAAACAAACACAATATGTTTTTTTTACCACTGAATTAGCTGATAACGAGCGTGAACTCCACTTTACTGCATCAAAATTGTACAATTGTACAATGACTGTGACACACTAACCTCCATTCAACATGTGAATACTAAAGTTAAAAGATGATGACTGGAAAACAGAAATGTCAGCGTATATGAGGAGAAGGAAAAAACTGTGCCAGGTGCTTCGCTGATTTATGAAACACGTCTTGATGAGATTTAAACGTTTAGATTTGTTCGTAAAGAGGGTCAAATCAGCCCTGACTGATCGACTGTAAACATTAATATACGAGGCCTGAGTGAGGTCACTCGTCTGTTCCTGCAGCGGGCGCTGGAGTCCCATCGATGGTGGTCTCCATGCTGGAAATGCTGTCTCAGTCTAACTTTCAGTCAACCTAATGGCAGGCTGAGAGCTTTTCAAACATTTTCTAAACTGCTATGATACGGTTACTAGACCTTGTCTCAAAAAGACGACATGGCAATAATTGCATCAATGCAGATTTGACAGAATCGATACAGACGCAGAGCCGTGATGGCAGCTTAGAAAGACACAATGCCGAAGGTGCAGTTCACAATAAAGCCAACAGGCGGCAGTAGAAGCCAAACTCCATGGTCCAAAGGCACGTCCTTCAATGAGAAACTCGATCCAACGCCAGCAAAACTGAAACCAAAGATTATGGGAACATTTTGGATTTTTAGAAACACTACGGAGCTTTGCAAAAACAAGGTAAAATTCTGCTGCATCATGGCCGACGTCTCTGTCTACACATGACAGATACCAACAACTGCTCGCTACACAGGCTCAGTGTACACCAACTCTGAATGATGCTTTCTACTCTAACCTGGATGATGTTGTTAGGGGTTGATTTCCTGTATTCATTTCAATCAGACCCAAATTGGCCCAAGGTGTTCTGAGCATGCTCCACAAAACCCCACCCTGGACTTTGACCCAGAAGTCAAACAACATTTTTGTCCCTCCAGAATCAAGTATCACTGACGTCCCTCACTTGGACGCAGGCAACACATTAGCGTGCAAAGAAAAAATAAGGGATCCCTTGAATGTGTGCGTGACACAACACACATATAAAGTGGGAGATTAACAGAGGCCTTCCTGACGATGAGCTAGTCTCCACAGGTCGTCTGAGGTGAGCAGCGACATCTTTTCACTGCACTCATATCTCATCTATGAAATCAGAGCGGTTCATTTAATGTGGCTTTAAACTTTCAGACTGGCCGTTTGCATTAGACTACAAAGACAGGAACATGTGATGCATGTTTAGTGTTTTTAATGGTTTGCTTTCTGACGTTTCTGAGGAATCATTGAGACTGCTGAATTAGAAACTGTTTCATTCTGTGATGTTTAAATATTCCTCGAGTCTGCCTGCATCGATATCTAAATTTACATTTGTATATTTTTTTATTCAATCTTGATGCTCTGATGTTCCTCTGAGGTGAGTCTCTCTCTTCTTCTGGGATTATAGTCTAACAGCTGCCTGTATTTTCACTCACAGGAGCGTTTGAGTGAATGTTCTTAAAGCTGTTAATAATGAGGCAACGTGCTTCAGGGCTCATTATACTCTACTTAATGAAACAGTTATCCACTCTTATTTAAAGCTAGATTACCTCCAACATGTGGAAGTTTCACATCACTCTGAACTGTGTACGTTTGTAAGTTTTATAACTCATGAACATTCAGATACAGTCTTACATTAATGACTTAAACTTGTCCTTTAAAATGTTATAAACGTGAAACTCTAAACAGACGAGCTGGTAGGAGAGATGAATGGAAAGAGGAGAGATGTTGTTCTACATATTTATTATAAATGAGCATATTTACTTGTAACACAGCCGACCTCAGCCCGGTATGAAGACATTAAAGATCAACAGGAACTCTTAAACACTGAGCGCTTTAATATGGATTAAATTGAATTTTATATGGATCAGCAGGCAACAGAGAAACAAACCTGATGAGGTCTTTGAACCTAACATTCATCGTTACTGAGGAGCGTTGGACAAACGTCCGTCAACATGTTTCACACTGATGAAAGTCGAGATGTGCATCAGCCACAAATCAAACAAGCAGCTTAGAATAAAGTAAAATGTGTTATCTTCAGAAGAAAGCCTCAAAGGTGTCATCACAGAAGGTCACTTCTGGTTGCACATGACGCTCGGCTGAAACAAAGGGGAGACCGGGCCTTTGCAGTTGTGGAACCAGTTGCTCCCCCAGGTTAGGCTGGCACCCACGTTGCCCGTGTTTAAATCACCTCTAACAGTTTATCTGAATGCTTTGGCGTTCTTAGACCCAGTATAAGAGCTTGTCTGGTTCCTTTTTTCTCTTTTATGCTTTTATCTATTTTGTTGTAAAGCACTTTGGTCAACTCTGTTGTTTTTAAATGTGCTCTATAAATACAGTCTCTCTCATCAGGGTTTACACACCAGGCAGGAAGTTGGTCTTTGAGGTCAAATGCTCGTAGGCCCGTTTTAGTGGGATACTATAATAAATCTACGTCCCTCTGTTCTCCTGAACAAACATTATAAAATATCAGAATTCATTTTTTTTCTCTTAAAAAGTGTCAGTGCTCCTAATACTTGAACATCGTGCTCCACTTTCTTGTTTCCTATAATCATTGATTGATTTGTTGTGTTTCTCTTTTGGACATTTCTTTGTCTTCAGAGATGAATGTGTCGTCTGCCAACATGACCGTGGTCGTTCGGTTTCCAGACTCCCTCTCTAAAGCCGTCACCAAGAACGTGATCGTCGTGTTTCTGGTGATCTCCATCAACTACATCAATGCCAGCCTTGTCCACACCTTCAGCAAACACCAGGTATGACCTTCATGTCATGATAGCAGGAACAAGTCTTTTGTGTTTTTTGATTTTTTTATATTTTACATTTTTATATTCTATTTTATATATTTTAATATCTTCTTATACTGTATTATTTAAGTTGTTGCTAGTTCTGCTTCATTTCCTTGTTAATTGTTTAGCACCAATACACCAAGTCAAATTCCTTGTTTGTGTTTGTACTTGGCAATAAACCCAGATTCTGATTCTGATTCTGACTTTAGATTTGTAACATGAAATCAATATCATCATCATCATCCAGGCAGCTGTCTCTTGATGTATTTTTACTCATTATATTTGGGCGATTCCATTCATTCATCAGTCAGATGAAACGTTTTCATTGTGAAAACTGAGCAGGTATCATTTGAAAAAAGAATCTCATTAATGGAGGCGACTGTATTCACAGACTCCAGAGGAATATCTGTTATCATATTGACCTGCAGAAAGAAGCCCAGTTCACTGGATGTCAGTCTGTTTAGTGTGGAGAAAAAAAGAGAATAGTGCTTCAACTTCAGGCAGGAAGAGAGAAATCTACCAAACAGACGACGGCACATGAAGAAATAAACGGAACAAAATGTGGTTTTGGAGCTGAACATGAACAATAGTGGTGTGAAACGATATTATCTCCATACTTGAGTCACAATTCTATATATTGCAAGTAAGCTTTTTTAACTGCATATTATAATGTATTGTTTTGAACTGTTTTGTCAAATAAGAAACAATTCTCAGTCCGTTCACTTCAGTCTTTTTATTTCTACACAGAGGGAGTCGAGCCCTCAGACTGACCAACATGATCAAATTTAAACCCTGTGAGGCTGCATGGACCTCATAATCTGAACTGTTGGTACTTCAGTCTCATGGAATTTTAAGATGAACTCTTAACAATGCAACTCGTTACAATTGAATTGTGCAACCCCTTCAGCAAATAAAATTTAAAAAAAGCATATTTCCTATTAAGATAAAAAAATATCGATACTTGGCCATGAGACGATATAATATTGCCACACAACATATTGCGATACCATGCTGAATCGATTTCTTTCCCACCTCTAATGAACAACAGATGAAGAACCTCCATTTAGAGAAATATCTGTTTGATTTTTACTGTAACTAAAATGTCCAGCCATTGTACAGCAGGCTGGTCACTTCTGGACACAGTGTTCATTTTCCTTTAATGTCAGATCTGTTTAGATTTGTACCACAACAACTCCAGGGGTTATCCGTCTCCTCAAAACAGTCATTTCTAAAGACAACGACAGTCGTCTGTGTCCATTGCCTGTTTCAAATGAGAGGAATTTTCCCTCTTTGGGCAGTTGGTGAGCGGTTCTCGCCCTAGTTTTTGCGGTGTGTCCAACTCTACCCGTCTGCCTTTTTTTGGCCAATTTCGAAATGTTGAATCGGCGTCAACGGTCGGTGAAAGGAATCTCTCTGATTTGCTGTTTTGAAGGTTTCATTTCTCTCCAGCTCTCAACACAGGTTCAGGGGCAGCTGTGGCTCAGTTGGTAGAGTCATCACCTCTCAACTGGAAGGTTAAGGGTTCGATCCCCAGCTGGGCAACATGTCGGCTGTGTCCTTGGGCAAGACACTTAACCCCCAGTTGCTCCATGTCACACCCATTCACACACTTATGGTAGTAGTATCATCCATCAGAAGTAACTAATACATTCATACACCGCCACAGAAGCAGCAGGAGTGTAAAAAGTGCTATGAGTAGTCAGAAGACTAGAAAAGCGCTATAAAAGCTAAGGTCCATTTACCATTCAGGAAAGCCCCTTGAGCATGCCGCTGTAGTATCCATGCTTTCACCCATTAGTGCGGTTTCTCCTTATTTGTCGCCTCCGCCTCTTCTTTTAATTTTCCACTCAAAGACCAAGGGCTGACAACGCCAGCGCCATTTTCAACTTTTTATCAGACATTATTCTGGATTAGTAGGCTACCTATAATACGACGTGAAGCAACGCAACAGGCAGCCTTCATTTACCACTAGTTCTTTGCCGTCGGCTTGGTGTGTCAGGGCCTAAATGACTGAAAACCTTCACAGATATATTTTGCTTCCCTCCCTCAGATCTTCTACAGAAACCCTCGGTACATCCTCTTCATTCACCTGGTGGTCAACGACATGATCCAGGTGACGCTGACTATTATCATGTTCATCATCAGCTACACCATCCACAGAATAAACGTCTCCGTCTGTTCTTTCTTGATGCTAACGGCTCTCTTTGCCACTGAGAACACGCCTCTCAATCTGGCCTGCATGGCAGTGGAGTGCTACATTGCTATCTGCATGCCGCTGCGCCACGTGCAGATCTGCACCGTCAGGAGAACGTTGATTCTGATCGGTTTGATCTGGATTACGAGCATGTTGTCGGTTCTTCCTGATCTCTTTGTGACCTTGGCCACCGAGCCGCTGGACTTCTTCGGCTCCCGGGTCTTCTGCCTCAGACAAACGGTCTTTCCAAATCCAGTTAACACAAAAAGGAGGAACGCCCTGTATTCAGTGTTTTTAGTCGTAATCTGGATCACTATCTTCTTCACTTACTTTAAGATCCTGTTCACGGCTAAAGCAGCGAGCAAAGATGCTAAGAAAGCCAGAAACACCGTCCTGCTGCACGGGTTCCAGCTGCTGCTGTGTATGTCCACGTATGTCGGCCCTCCATTATTAACCATCATAAAGCAATGGTTGCCTCGAGACTACACAGACCATCTGTTCGCTTATTATATCACTATACAAATCCTGCCCAGATCCATTATTCCGTTCATCTATGGCGTACGAGACAACACCTTCAGGAGGTACCTGAAAAGGTATCTGTGTTGTAAAGTCACAGTGCGGTCCTCAACCATCCGTAACCTCCATTAGAGCGGGGTCACAAAAACATTCTTACAATGACAGCTATTCATATTAAAGGTCGACACACTTTCAAATACAGAGGTGAACTAAAGCCCCGTGTCCACATAGTGTGTTTTTCTGAGCACCATAGTCTTTTTTAAATTGTTTTCCATGAGGAGAGAGTGTTTGCAGCAGCCGGCCGCCTAGAGAAAAAACCCTGTAGCGGGTTTGACAAGGTTTTAATTTTGGGGTGCCAGTCAGAGTCAAGTTTGACAAATAAAAATTAAATGCAAACAAAAAATAGTCAACCTGCACAAAATAGGACATCATCCACACTGCAAACAAAATGATGTGTGCACTGTGTGTGCGTGTTTCACAGTCTGTGTTTGTAAAGCAAAGTTCACACACCCACAGTTCAGTCCATTTCAGTTCAATGTTCAATTACAAAACAAAAACTCTGCTCCGGGTTTACCACGGGCCTCGAAAACAAATAAGGAAACAAACTCAAAAGAAAACCAGCGTCTCTCTTTGCGGTGCGACAATCAAAACACAAAGAAACAAAAGACACACCAGGTACTCACGGTACCAAAGTTTTTTAAGTCAGTCAGTAGGTTAAGTCAGTTGGCTTTGATCCATTGCGACCGGCATCTCCTGACTCCAGGGAACAGCTGATCCGCCAGGAACAGGGAAATAAACAAATCCAACAGGTAATCGGCCTGACAGCAACGGACCTCCAGCGACGAAGATGTCACACAAAATGGATATAACACAGACTTTCAAACACGCTCTATGCCGAGGTAACACTTCTCCTTCACTGACTTTCTTTCAATGACTCTCTGCCTCGATCACCGGTGACTTGCACCTATACAAATGCCCTTCCTGTGTGTGCAACCATCACATCTGCCTCTCCAAAACCATCAAAAGTGCTTCCCATCTCAATTGAGGCCCTTGTGGAAGGCACAACAGGAAGACCCAGAATGTCAGGTTCTTTATCAAAAAGTGGTAGAAACTGGACAAGTCAATAATTCAAACCCTTCATACACCATCATGGATGATCTCCTCTACCGTCTCGTCACCCTCCCATACAAAACCATCTACCAACTCTACATACCTCCTAGCTTCCGTACACAGTTACTGGACTACTTCCACCAAGATCCTCTCTCTGGACATCTTGGCAGGCACAAAACCTACCGAAGACTTCAACATCTTGTCTATTGGCCAAAGCTGAGCTTGGATGCCAGAGAACATGTAAAAAATTGTCAAACGTGTCAACTCTACAAACCAGAAAACAGAAAACTTGCAGGAAAACTCCAACAAACTAAAACTCACCGCCCATAGGAAATGCTTGGAATGGATTTAATGGGTCCCTTCCCCAAAAGCTCTCAATAAAATGTTTATCTCCTGGTTTTCGTTGATTATTTCTCCCGTGGGGTTGAACTGTTCCCAATCATAAATGCCACGGCTGAAACCATCTCTCAAGTCATGGTCAAAGACATCTTGACCAGGTGGGGCATTCCTGACTACATCCTGTCTGACCGTGGAACACAGTTTGTTTCATCAGTTTTCCAAACTGTATGCAGAACCTGGAATGTGTTAACCTCAGCCTACCACCCCCAAACCAACCTTATAGAGAGACTGAACCGTGTTCTTAAATCAATGATAGCATCCTATGTAGGGGACAATCACTGTCTGAGTTTCGGTTTGCGATTAACTCTGCAGTCCAGGAGTCAACAGGCGTTACTCCTGCAGAGCTTAATCTTGGTTGCTCCCTTAGAGGACCTCTGGATGCAATGTTTGAACTCATGAAACTGCTCCAGACACCCCTTGCTACACAAAAATTACACGGCTAAAAGATCTTTGTTCGTTTGTTTCTAAAAATCTGGACTCTGCTCGTCAACGGCAGAAAAGAAACTACAACAAACACAGACGTGACCTTGAGTTTCGGGAAAAGGACAGAGTCTGGTTGAGAGCCCATCCTCTCTCCAAGGCAGAGAAATCGTTTCCGCCAAATTAGCCCCAAAATGGCAAGGACCATATCGGGTAGTGGAACAAGTTGGGCCTGTGAATTATAAAGTTGTTCTCGAAGAGACAGGCAAGTACTTAAAAGTTGTCCACGTTGCCCGTCTTAAACCTTGTTATCCGACTGCTCAGGGTCTAGAGGAGCAGGAGAAAAAACGCATTCTTGAAATCTTGAATGAGGAGTCGGATGAAGAGGACTTCCTTGGGTTCGCGGACACCTCCTGTCCAACTTCTAATAAAGGATGGAGGAAAAGACCTGTAGAAAAATTAAAATTCTGACAATACTTATGACTCTGACAATGCCTACGGTCACAATTCAAACTCACATTAATCAACCACCTGGACTGTGTTTCTGTGTAGGACAACTACTGCGCCTTACCTTTGGTCGGCTTCTGCTAAGGGGGGAGGAGTGTAGCGCCTGCAGAGTCAGAATCCTCTTTCTACACACCTCCATTCATTGCTTCCTCCGTCATCCACCCACATTCATCTCACACTCCAATGAAAAACAGCCACAGTGCCTCCAGGTAGGGAAGTATGGATGGATTCTGAAGGGGCTCGGGAGAGGGCATCCGGTACAGTGTTGTATCTTCCTTTTCTGTATTCTACAGTGAAAGTGAATTCTTGAAGCCGGAGTGCCCACCTGATGAGTCGTGTGCTGGTTTTGGTGGTTTTGAACACCCACAGAAGAGGGGCATGATCAGTCACAACGGTAAACAGTCTGCCTTCAAGGTAAGTTCTCCACTTCTCAACTGCCCACACCACTGCCAAACATTCCAGCTCGGTGGCAGCATAGTTTTTTCTCTGCAGGGTTTAGGCAAGGCAAAGGCAAGGACTTCCTCGGTTCCATAGTTGGATTTCTGAACAAGCACAGCCCCAAGTCCAATCTCACTGGCATCGGTGTACACCATAAAGGGAGCATTGAAGTTTGGATGGTCAAGGACAGGTGGTTTTACCAGGTGATGTTTCAGGGTATTAAACGCTGTTTGACATGCAGGTGACCAGCTGAATTTTGCTCATTTTTTCTTTAAGGCATTGAGTGGTTCAGCAATCTGAGAAAAGTTGGGGACGAATCTGTGATACCACCTAGCCATGCCCAAGAACCTTTGTAGGGCTTTCAGGTTGGTGGGTGCAGGGAAGTTCTGAACATCCTCAACCTTGTCTGGGTCAACATGGACTCCTGTAGCAGAGACAAGATGACCCAGGAATTTCAAAGAGGTTCTGAACAGTTTGCTTTTCTTCATGTTCACAGAGAGGCCCGCGTTCCGGAGTTTGTCCAGGACAGCTTGGACATCATAGGAATGCTGTTCCCAGGACGAAGAGAAGATGATAATATCATTCAAGTAGACAAAACAAATGAGTCCCTTCAGCTCTCCCAATGCTCTCTCCATGAGCCTCTCGAAGGTGGCAGGGGCATTCTTAAGACCAAATGGCATAACTTTAAATTGGAACAGTCCATGAGGGCATATGAAGGCAGTGATTTCCCTCACCTCTGGATCCATCTCCACTTGCCAGTAGCCACTAGTAAGATCTAGTGATAAGAATACAACAGCACCTGAGAGACTATCCGATATCTCCTGGATTGTGGGAATGGGATAAGCATCAGTGACTGTGTTATCGTTCACTTTTCGGTAATCGACACAAAACCTTGGGTTCCCTATCTTTTTGGGAATCAGAACCACAGGCGAGGCCCAAGCAGAACAAGAAGGTTCAATTACGTCCTCTTTTAGCATGTCCTCGATGAGTTCCTTCATCACCTTGTGTTTAGGAGGGGAGACTCGACAGGGTTTCTGTCGAATGGGTACAGGATTGGTGAGAAAGATTTGATGTTTCAATATCTCAGTGCATCCCACTTTGGTTGTACACACATCAACATTGTTAAGTAACAGGTTATGTAACTGGGGTTTAATATGCTCCTCCAAGTGAGACTCCTGAACTGCCCTCAGCATCAAGTCCGAGTCTTCCAAAGTGGTCTGTGTACCACTGTGGAACAGTGCAGTGGCTGATGGAGCTTCTGCAGAAAAGAAGGCAATGGAGTTGCCAGTCTCCCCCTCCCCAGAAAGAGAGGACTCTGCACAAAACTGCAGTTTTACAGGACATTTTCCGGTTAACTGTCCTGACCTCAGGCAGAACGGAAGAATCATGAGGAGACTGAAGCACACCTTCCTTATCAGTTAGTACAGTAGGCTGGAGGCGCTGACTCTGAGCCTCCTCCAACTGAACATTTTTGGGTGCTGCTTGAACAGGGACTTTTGCAAGTGTAGATACATTCAGTGTTTGCTTCATTGTACCCAATTCCTGGGACATGGAATCCATGCTTTGCGACAATTTCCACACATCATCCTGCAGGTGATCAATTGATTGTGCGACTGGGCTCATGAACTCTTTGATGTCCTTTAAAATCTCTATATGGTGGTGTGCTAAGCGCCAGTTAAGATGTGCTGCAAACTGATTAATTAGAATGGTTGATTGTTTGTCTAGAGTTTCATGTAAGTGCTGAAAGTGTTGTTCATATGTTGTTGTGACATTTCTAAATAAAGTTGTAACTGTTTTTTCAAGCTCCTCAAAGTTGCTTTAATTGTTTCATCAGTGTCAACTGGTTCCTCCATTAATTCAGTCTTCCATAAAGATGAACAACCAGCCTGATTCCCAACTTCCTCCTGAGATGGAACTGCCAATGGAATGAGAGGCTGAGATAGATCAGGGTTCAATGTCACACATTTATCCATATCTAATAAGGACTGTGTGGTCCTTTTTTTCTGCAAATGGCTGAGTTTGACTGCAGCCTTGCTTTGATGAGGCCATTTCAACAGGTGTTGGGGAAAAGAAATCCATTCCTGAGAAGGTTAATTAGAAGAGTGTGGCAATTTTTTTTCCACAAATCCAGGGTTTAGTGAATCCAGATATCTGGGGTGCCACTTTTTGTAGCGGGTTTGACAAAGTTTTAATTTTGGGGTGCCTGTCAGAGTCAAGTCTGACAAATAAAAATTAAATGCTAACAAAAAATAGTCAAC